GGAATCGTCAAAAAAGAATCGCTAAGCATCAGGATCTCTCTCTCTTAAGTAATTAGCCGTCCCGACGTCCGAGCTCGAGAGCCCACAGGAACGTATGTAAATATCGCGCGGGGAACGAGCGAGTCAGGGGTCTCAACTATGAGTTCCAGGGGTCTAAACGGACCGATCCTCGAAGCACGCTCAAGCGTACAGGCCGTAGCAGGAAACGTCAAGCGCAGTCGGGGTCTTTCAGTGACAGAACGATTTGCAGCTTCCCTCGGCCGTCCATAACGCGGTAAATTCGGCGTACAGTGGAAATGGAGCGGCAGTGGGCGGACGTTGGTTCGCCGTATAAAAGCTAACAGAGGCATCAGGCGTCATGGAACTATTTTCCTTAATCCTTGGATCGTTGATCGCGCGTAGACGAACGCGAAACGTGGTCCCCGTTTCGACCGACGTTTCGTGCATGCGCTCGCGCTTGGACAAACGCAACTTGTAAAACGAAAAGTCACGGCGTCGTTTGTCCCTTACTTCCATTCGTTTCTTTTTTTTTTTCTTTATCTCCCATTAATTTGTATTTGTGTGTACGTGTTCTTTTACGCTTAGCTCTTTCGCTTGTTCCGAAACTCGTTGACATTCGTTGGACATGTTCACTGTTTTTTTTTTGTTTTTTTTTTATTTCTTTTTAATTGCATTATTTATTTTTTTCTCGCAGTTGGCTTTTATTTTTCATTTGTTTGCAATTATCTTCGTTTCTCCGCGTTTTCTAAATTAGCGCGATCTCCCACCTTCGCACGTCGATCGTCCGTCAGAGGGGTGGGGGACGGAGCCACGTCGACGATCTGTAACTTACAGCCTTAATCGACAGGACTAATACGTAATTTATCGACTAAACGCAGGCCTAATCGCGACGCCAGACCGTGGGAGGGAAACACGAGGCGTGGAAAATCCAATCTCGTTGGTTCTATATGTTTCTCTCGCGCGTGAGCCGCGCGCGGAAATTCGTAGTCTTCTCTTTGGCACCGGGTGAACCTTTCCCCCGCTGGGCAGTCCCCCTCGTCGTTTATGGGCCCGCGATTTCGATCACTATTTCTTAGATAGCACCTTCGTTATTCGACTTCGTTTCGCGAACGCTCGTATTTTCAAGGGAGAACGAAATATCAGTCAGATTAGGCGACGCAAGGACGCTGCGCTATTTACGCGATTCGAGAAATCTGGAAACTTGGAAAAATTAAGTATACACGCCGATGTAATATTTTTCATTGGTGATGGGAAACAATCGTTGCTGAAATAAAAATATATTAATGTAAGTTAATACCAGCTTCACAGAAGTTAACATCAGGACTCAGTATTGATTCCCAAAACTATGGATTTCTTCAAACTTATCGATTTTCTTCAATTGCTCCTGATATAATAAAGCTATATCTTTCTAGATTCTAAATCAAAATTAATTCGTATTTCCACGACTGTACCCATAATAATATTTATGCAGACATTGAACACACGAGCAAGTTTCCCTCGTTGAATTTCATCTCTCATTTACACTGCATTACAAAAACATGAAAGCTCGGAGTAAAAATGAAAATTGTAGTTTTATTGAAATTGCAATTTTATATTGAACGAACAGATGACAAATAATGCACCTCATAGTGGTTTATCTCATTGAATAGCTAGTCATATATATAATTATTCAACCACACGATAATTTCATGACTCAAACCGTGATTTTAAATTATAAATCTAAAAAATCTACTCGAACGAATAGAGATCGAATAAAAGTGGCATGTATTATCAATATTCATTCAATCCCAGAATACTTCATTTTAAAATTCAAACTATAATTTTCACCGAGCAAACATACCATCAGAATTTATTTATCTGTCATTTTCTATCGAAGAGGAATCTTCACCCCATCTTAACCCCTATCTTTCATCACCAATGAAAAATAGCAATATACTCAGGCCTTTACCTACTTTATTTATACTAAATCTCAACCCCCTTGGACGATATCTGTCACTAAGAATTATTAGTTCTCACTTCAATGGTCAAGTACCCATGTCCTCCTGTTAGTTTTGGAGTCACGTTCTCCTGTTAATTTCTAACCGATTTCTCCTTCTCCCAAGATACAGCATAGTGCGTCCGTAATTACTAGCTAAGGACTAAACATTTCTGACGGAAATTGGAGGGGCGCTGGTCTCGTAAGGGATGAGGGGGCTTCGCCATTTCTCTCGCAGTTTCCCGTCCCGCCGACGCGGCTCGGTCTCGCGAGGATTTTCTTTGGCATTCGACGCGGTTCGCCAGCCATAGATACGGCGAATGTCCGACGCAATTGTACCGTTCTCAGGAGCAACGGAGTTCTACGCGAAGTTCTGCTCCCGGCGTAGAATTCATGCGGGCGAAATATCGAGTTGAACTTGGTACGAAGCCGCAGACGATTGGGAACGATTCAGCCTTCTGCGCTCGAAGTGGCGGTACTCGAAGTACCAACTTCGATAGACGTACGCTTCTTATGCGAGTGTATAAAGAATCCTGAGTAGCGAGGGTTGGATCAGCGCAACTCTGTTGGCGTTAATCGTCGAAGAATTATTCGTGGGAAGGTTACACAGAATCTTGTGATACTTAGTGAATTTTTCGAATACTATGGGGGTACTTGTGAATGAAATATGTATTGGAAGATTTAGTGGTTTGGATTGGCGAAGAAACTCTGTTGATGGTTCAGATTCCAAGTTAATGGTGGAAGCTTTGGTTGAAGTTTTGTATTCATGAATATGAGAAATTCATGAGTATTGCGTTCGAATTGTTCGTCACTCTTGAATTTATCGATTGGCAAGGTATACTATCACTTATACTGTGAGATGGACATCAGGAGTCTCCTGATTTGGAATAGTGGAACGATTCTGTTGGTCGCTGCAATGTGCAAGTTAATATTCAGAGATATATTAACAAGATGAGATTTATCGAACACTTGCATCACGAATCAAACGTCAAGAGTCTGATAATTTGTATTGAATCTCGATTATCCTCTAAAAAAAAAAAAAATAAATTTGGGATCCTACCAGTAAAAAAGGAACGATTGCTGCGTCTACGTTTGACTTCCCGGAGTTCCACGTGCATCGTGGTTCAAGATCGAATGCAGAAAGGCTGAATAGACGACCTCGACCCCGTTCCCAGGTCTCGGCCCCATGTTTGAGCAACGATCGCGAAATCACAGTGTTTGCTAAAACGAGGAAGTTGTATAGAAGAATAAAATGTAACGTATTATTCCGTTCAAGAATACACCGCGGTTATCTCGCTACGGGGAGATAAGGAATCACAATATCCTGTCCGACATTACCACCTGTCGTCTCCGAGCCGCCACGAATCGGAAGGACACGAGCGTTCGTTTCGCGAGGATCGCTCGATCGCCCTGATCGACACGAGATCGGCGCAAGCTATACGGTAACTTTCATGAAAGTAAACGAGACTTGGCACTGGGACGGCACGTTTGCAACAATTATCGCTGTAGACCTCATTACTTATCCTTATTTAATGTCTATTTTTAGAAGACGGAATAACGCGCCGAATAATTCACCGCGTCGGTACGGGCGATCGATCCATTCGTCTCCTCGAATCCGCGGCAGCTGCCAGTCAACGAGACCGAAGCCACCGCGAGATAACTCATCGACACCATCGGAGGGACTCGTGAATAGTTTAAAAGCGCGACGAGGGTCCGCTAGGGTCGTACGCTCTGATCGGGTGACTAGGGAGGCGCGGACGGGCAAAATTTTATTCGAGGAACAGGCCACGAATGAAAACACTTTCGATTCGATATTTATTCATTCGTTCGATTGTAATTTCAAATCGAACGAGTCGATGGTTGTTTGTCATTCGAATGACAGATGACGGCTGAAGATACTGCATAGCGATTTATTCGCAATGTTTAGCTTAAATGAATACTCAGATATACGTATTCATTCAAATGTAGTTTAATTTTATAATTGAGACTGCAATTTAATATTGAACGAATAGATGACGAATAAAGCACCTCATCGTGGTTTAACCCATTGAATAGCTACTCATCTATATAATTATTCAACCACGCAACAATTTCATGATTCAAACCGTGATTTTATATTGAACGACCAGCAACTAAGAAGTTCTCCATATTTAATTAATTACTCAAAGGAATAGAGAACGAATAAAGGTGTTATACAACGATTTATTCGCGATATTCATTCAACCCCAGAATACTTCATTTTAAAATTCAAACTATAATTTTCACCGAGCAAACATTGCAATCGAATTTATTTATCTGCCATTTTTTCATTTAAAAATTTTATCTGGACGCGAATTTTGCCGATCCCTGCCAGAAAGCCGATCGCCCGATGTCGATCGCGATCCGACGTCCAGGGTGGGACGCGAAACGTACCTGGAAATAAATAATTATCGGGGCGACGATTTCGAGCCTCTCGAGATGAGGCTACGACTTAGGCCGCTTACGAGACCAGCCCCGACGAGAATGAGCCGGCACTCTCGTTCTGCGCTCGCGCATTTACTGGACGATGTGTCGTCGATCGCTTGTTATATATATATATATGTGCACACGTACCAGGGACATACATATATGTATATACACATGTAGACAGCAGAATGTGGACAGCGACTAACAAGGAGCATCATTCTACTGTAACGCGTTCACTTTTGCGAAAACTTGTTCGCGGATAGAACACAAATAAATATGGCACGTGTTCTCCTTTATGGGGCTGATATTTATGTTTGTGGGGTTAAAACTACCCTCAAAATTGTGAATACGAAGTAAGTAGTTGAATATTTCAGAAAGTAAAAAGGGTTTCGAGTTGTAAATGTACGATTCTAATATTTTTGTAAGTTTTTAATATTGAAGCTGTAGGGACGATGGTGATAAATATCTGGTTAGTAAATCTTGTTTTATACTTGTCTAAATGGTGGAACCTGGCACTTACGAAACATTCGTTCTCCAGATCTGGAAAGAACTGCTATTGAAAGACTAAAGTAAACCAACCCTGAGGTAGTTTCCATCCCTCAAACATGCTCACCAGGCAATAAACGAGAAATACGTGTCTAATATTTTTTAATGGTCTATCTAGGAACAAAGTTGCGCAAAAATCTGCGTTGGGAGTGAAGTTCCTTCTAAGAAGAGGTTCGAAGGACCGTATAGACCGTGCAACAAGACGCTACTTCGCGGCTCTCGACGACCAACCTAAATCGTTTGCTTTCTCTGCACGTGACAGACGTGTACTCCACGAACGAAATAAAAGACACGTTATTGCTATATCGCGTTAAAGAGGATACGGGGGTTCGAAGGCACCGACAACACTCCGAGGACGAACCAGGCGTAATAGACGCGCCTGGTCTCCGTTCGATGCCGTATTCGAACACGTCGCCGCGCGCTTAGGCGAATAAGTCCATCCTGTCGGTCGTTTATGCTTTTGTGGTAATGATAGGACGGCTGTTGGCGGGGAATGGCGCCCTTCGACCCGTGCTTTCGTTTCCGATTCGTGTTTTTCGAATGGGAAATCAAATAAAATGTAGGATCTTCAGAGGATTCTCAAATAGTGTTCCAGATTTTGATTTTTCCTCCAGAATCTGAGACTACACTCAGTTGGAGTGGCAGTCTCTAACGGTTTCAACTTCTGAAGAAGCTTCATCGTACGTCAAGATAGGCGAAGCATTTCATCTTATTTTGATCAAATTGTCTCTATAGAATCTGAGTATCTGATGGAAAACATTCGTAACGTCGCCAAAATCTAAATTAAAGTATACGACAACCCTTAGGTGCCGCATTTCTCTATCCTTCGGGGTAAAGCACCCTTAGGGCCCTGCAAACAGTCCGAACCATCATCGAATGACGCCATTCTCCCGTAAAATAATATCGACGTCCGTCAAACGTCCACCAAACAAGGGGCATTAAAAAAATACACTCCGCTGCAGACGATCCGCGGTGTCCCACGGATCTGCAGTGGAAAACTATTCTTTCGCTTCTACTGAAATCGCTAAACTATTCTCGCGTGGCATCGTCGAACGTCAACGTCAAATCGATATTAATACATTCAAAAAGCGCGTTCTCCACAAAACATTTATCACTTTAACGCTTCGTTTCCAACGGAGGGACTTGTTCGTGGCAGCAAGAGCCGCGGCATGCACGAGACTGCAAGGCATGTACACAGAAAAATCATCGTTACCGCGTGGCGATGTACAAATCACATCGGCCACTGACAGCTAGCACGTTATCAGGACAACAAAAAGGAACTGTTACGGTCGACTTTTGTCTGCCGCGTCGTTGCGTTCTTTGGTTTCAAATCCTTATCACAAGTTAGCTTCACTAACGTTATGTAGAAACCTTCTTCTTCTTCTACATTTCTTCTTTTACTTCATCTTCTTCTTCGTCTTGGTCTTCCACTAGCCTCTTCGCTATCTTCTTTCACGAGTGCGTGTATGTTCGTGATAACGCGAGACTCTCGCGTTTCGATGCAGGGCGAAAGCCAGCCGCTGGCTTTCCGCCATCGTCGCCGACGATTACTTCGTTTCCTTCTTTCTCCGTAATTGACTCGTCTTGCTGGGCCAACGGCTGGATAGATACGCGATTCTCTTCTCTGTTTCTCGATTCGAAACGTTCGCCTCTATGGCCGCGTTTCCGCGAAAGCATCTCAACAGAGGGGAAACAAACTCGTTGAAAATCTCTTTTGGCTCAACGAACTCCGGGAGGAGGATTCGAAGACGCGCACTTACTCGTGAAATTATCTCTATCGAGTCAAGCCTCGAAAATATTACGATTTCAGGGTTTTTCCGAAAGTTCAGCGTTCGAGAAATCCGAAGAGATGAAACGAGTACTTTGCGCGTGTACGACTCGTCTTCGAATGGCATCCTCTCGTGCTTGGACGTTCTCGTACTCGCTTGTGCGTCGTTTCGACTATTTCATCGGCTGTGCTTCCGTGTCTCATAGTTCATGCAACGTGGAAGGAGTGTTCCGTCGACTTCAAATTGCGATTGCATCGTTACCTAACTGATCAGAGCGAATGGCCGATCGTTGACTGCTGGAAACTCACCGCGATTGACTGCCATCCTCTTCCTCGAACTGACGACCATTAGAATACAAAATCAAACTGAAATCGTGGTGGTAGGTCTCTAAGGCGACGCTTCGAGGAGCCAACTCGGCTTACTGTAAATAATTTCATGCATTGACAGCAATTTGGAGCTCGAGGTTCGCTTGACCTCGGTAGCATGAAAGCGTTGTATAGTTGGACGATGTACAAAAAATCTCTGAGGGAGGAAGATTACTCGAGATACTTTATCCTTAACCCATCGTCTGTTGACATTCCTACCACGCTGGTTCTCAGGAATCTTTTTTTAGTTAACTACACCTGGATAGAGGCGGCAGAGGTTATCATCAACCCATTTGCATCTAAGGAATATTCCTAAACGTCCATGTTACTAAATTCATCATTGTATCACTAGAAGAACTATAAAAGATGTCCCTAAGTGATGTGTGTAATTTAAGATAAATTTTGGTGTTTTCACGAAAACAATGTATCGGTTCACCTGATACAAAATTGAGACACAAGTTACTCTTGTTAAAAAGTCTGATCACTGAATCTGAATCCTTTCAAGGACAACCTTTCTAGCTCTATAGTGATATGGACCTTTTCCAATAAGTAATTCACTGAAAATTATAAAGTTTCCACAATAGTCACTCTTCCAATTATTAACACGTTCCGTGTCACGTGTACCACCGGTGGTACAGGCAGACATATTTATTTAATTCGTTGAAAACATACTTTGATTTTTTTAAATATATTTCCACCAAAAGAATGAAGCCCAGGTGGTACACGATGTGATAACTGCTCTAAACAAACTAACTACTTATGGATTGACGATGTAATGAAATATTATGTGATAACTAGACTGCGGAACTATATGTAAAATAAAATCTTCGCGAACTTGCCTACAAAAATCTAACTAAAATAGGAATTTATTTTTCTCTGCAAATATTGAACTTTACTTTCAATCTCTTTTATATTCTTGTATATTGTTTGCATTTTGTAGTTTTTTGCACATTTAAATTTCCTATAAATGCATAAAGATCCGCAGTCTTATCAACATATCAATCTTTAGTCAAAACATCAACTGGCCCGATGGACAAGTGGAGCAAAAAAACGGCTTGGCACAAAACGTGTTAAATAAATATTCCAAAGTAATCCTAACAATGGCCAACATCGCTAGCCACGGTTGCTCACACCATCGATGCAAATGAGTTCCCAGGACTCCAAGGTCTAGCGAACTCGTTTGATAACTACCTTTCCTTCCCAGATCCCCGAGAAACACAAAAGCCAATCCCTGCCGCCCTGAAGACGCACTAAGTGCCGAGAACGTCCCAGAATTCGTTTTTGAGCCTCGTTCAGCGCTGGTGTATGTGCGTAGTGAGATGCTTGGAGAGATAATCCGCCCTGGCGAAGCACTTGCCGCACATCTCGCAATGGTAGGGCCTTTCGCCGGTGTGTATGCGGAGATGCCTGGTCAGGTCGCTCTTGCCGCCAAACGCTCGGCCGCAGAACAAACAGACGAACGGTCGTTCGCCGGTGTGCTTGCGCACATGGAGCTTCAGGTTCTCCTTGGACCTGACGCACTTACCGCAAAACGGACAGGCGAAGCGACGCTCGCGCCTGTCCACCTCGTGGCTGCCGCGAGCCAGGCTGATCATCGCCTCGGTCGGCTCGGGTCGGTCGTCGTCCACCGCGTTGTCGTCCACGTCCCCTGCTTCGCTGGTGCTTCCACCGCCGCCTGAAGCCCTCTCGTTCACCACTGGAGCCTCCGTCATCTGAACCTCGACCGCCTCGCCAGGGTTCTCGTGGAGGCTGGCCGTCTCCGACACGCTCTCTTCGCGAGGATTCTCCGCGAAGGTGGCTCTCGTCTCCTCCTCGCTGGGATTGGTGGTGGTGTCGCTTCCGGTTTCCAGCTGCGTGGGTTCTCCGGTGCTGGACACCTGATCGCTGCGCTCCGCAGCCGCTGACACCGCCATCACGCTGCTCTGGGGCTCGGGAGCCCTCTGCAACCGCTCCAACGCGTGGTTCAGCCGGTGCTTCTTGAATGACTTCAGATACCTGAACTGCATGCCGCATACGTCGCAGGTGAAGAGCTTGTCGGCAGGTAGACGGGCACGGTGGTTCTGCTCGCGGTGTTTCACGTACGCGGAACGGTAGCGGTAACGCTGGCCGCATTGCTCGCAGGTGAACGGCTTGTCGTCGCTCGCCTGGCCGGCGTGCTGAAGTAACGCGTGCCGTTCCAGCAACCAAGCGGAAGGAAACGTCGCCAGACAGACACCGCAGCGACGCGCCAAACCAGCCAGACCGGCGAAACCGCCGTGACCTAACAGGGAACCGCTTCCGCCGCTGCCGCCCGAGCGTTCCACCAAGGCGCCCCAACCCCCTGCTTCCAAACCGAGCGCCAGCGACACCTGAAATGATCGTGGTCTGTTAGATGGAATTCGATTCTGAGGACGATTTGTGGGGGAGGTTTCTTTTCTCTTTCTTCCTTTCGCTGTTGCCGAAGAGCATTGGGGTAGTGGTATTGAGGGGAACGTGGCACTTTGGTTCCTTTTGCATTTATTGTTTGACGTGCTTTGAGCGAAGAAATGAAGGAAAGGGTTATCTATAGAATTTGATTTTTTGAGAAGAACCTGGTATGATATTCTGTATGTGTGGATTGACTCTTTGATTTATTGAACCTTCTGTATATTTGATACTTTCAGTGCCAAACTCACAAAAATACTTATGAAGCTTAATTTTTGTTGTGTACAATTGGAAATTATATAATCTAACATTTGCGTTAGTATTTAGGTTTACAACCTCATCAAAATTCACGAATTCTATCCAGATTTTTTTTCCAGATTGAATTTCTTAGTAAAGAGATGCTTGTCACGTGTTAAAATAGATCGTTATTCAATTGTTCCTGATATGGGACCTTTCTTATACCTAATTCTGCTAATAATTCTCTTTTTTAGTCCAATCAATTTTTTTCTAAATTGAAATCTTCGAATCTATGTAACTATATTTCTCAGTCAAGTTTCTCGCATTTCTCAAGCAAAGGGAAGACTCGAATGCACTTCGCTAATTGCACATAAACTACATCGTACTTCAATTTCATTAAAACCCAGATAACAAGTGTGTTCTGTGATCGATTTTGCGTGGAACTGCCTTAGAACGTTTGAAAGATTGTTGAGTAACCAGACGTGGGTGCTCTTGCGGGTGAAAGGGTATTCTTTATTTAGTTTTAACCTTTGGAAGAAGCCCGACTGATGGGGGATGTCTCGCAATTAAATGATTGTGATTTTAATGGGGCTTTGCGTGAAACTAGGACGTGAAAATCCCGTGCAAGAAACAATTCTTTTTCTACTGGAAATTCACTCTGAGAAGCACAATTACTTTAATTGAATGATGTCCCGATCATGTACTCTTTAACCCTTTGACTGCGAAGTCGAACTGGAAGTTGTTTCGAACGCGAACATCCCTCGATACTTTCTATCCGTGAAAATGGAAAGCATCGTTAGCTGCCTATTATTCATTTCCAATCAAATATTAGAACTTGATTTCTTCTTTCCAAGGAATACAACGACGTACGTGAAATTATCAACTCAACTACAAATTATCCAATGATCACGACCTAAATTAAGAATTTCCAACATTTCAATTTTAGATTCTGTATAAAAGTAAGAACAGTTGAAAATTAATATTCGTTATGTACTTATATTGCTTCATTACAATCGATTAAGATGTTTCGATAACAATGGCGTTCACAAAATTACTGAAATACTTAAATAATGCATGTTTGTATATCGAATAACAATGATAGCGAACACGGATCGTTGAATGCAGCGTTGCAGGTGCAAAGTTTATGTAAAAATTACAACAAGGTCATGCACTTATCAAACTACAAGAATAGAGAGAAGCTTGCGTTCTTAAAGTAAATATAACTTACCCATTGTATCTTGTACGCAAATTATTTCTTCGGTTTACCGCCTGTTACACGGACACTGACGCAGTGCCATTTCTTGAGATCATTCGAAAACAATGAAATTAAATATCGAGGTTGCGTAGGACTAATAACGATCAACATAATCGACGTGTGCCCTCGAATAAACGATAAACAATCTAACGCGATTCATTGGAGTTCTAAAAGGGGGAAAGCTGTGAACTACAGATAACCCTCCTACAACACGTATTTATTCGTATCGTTTCACGTGGTATATTAGTATAATATTTCTGAATCGATGTGGACATTCTGCTCTAAAAAATAGAAACAAAAAACAATTATTCAATGGCTCGCAAAATTAACGACGTTCAGATAAAAGTAACATGTATAAAATTCGACAATTTCCTGTTGAATACACTTAAAAAATTGAAATTCAAGGATCTCCATAAATGCAACCTCCACACTTGCACCCCTATACTTGCATTTATCGCTTTGAAGATATATTATTCTCGTCACTTTTTCAGCTATAAAAATGTTAAACTCATGTTCGATAATCACGAAAAAAAAATGAGCGAATTTTTAGTACAAACCAGTCTATATTTTCCCATAAAAAAGAAATCCCGAAACACTATCCATCCTTCAAGGCGCCTTCGAAAGGACCGCGTTATAAGAGGGTCACCAGACGAACGGACAGGGGAGAACAGACAACAGACATCAGGTTCAATGACCTATTGTTAACACAAACAGTTTGCAGCTTTTATTTCACAAATTGTTAATTTACAACTATGATATGCATTCGTTCGCCTAAGAACCGAAACAGAAACGTCATTTTACACGAAACAAGGCGTGTTGTTTATCCACAATGATCAGAACGCGTATCGACGTGGGTGAGAGTTTACGGACAAGTCTCTTTTCGTTTTGTTTTTCATTTTTTCTTCGTTTTTATTATTTTTTTTTTTCTTTATTCACGGCTTCGTCTCGTCTCGAGAGATCCTTCGCACGCGGTAAACGCTTTTCAAAATCACTTGCCGCGATGGGTGACATTCCATCTCCGCTATCAACAGATTCGCAAAACCTAAACGCATCTCCCCGTGCCGGAACAACGCGATACGGACGAGATTCCTCGTTGTGGGTCGTCACGAAATCGACGGTTTCGCAATCGTCCATCTCGCGGTTCGACTTCACCTCTTTCCGACTCGACTCGCACATCGGGTCCGCGACTAACAGCAAAAACATTCATTCGCGCGTTTCATGTACTCATGGTTGTTTCGCACGGAAACCAGAAACGAGCAAACTTCCCTGGATAAGTGTGAATGATGAGCGAAAGGTGAACAACTGGTCAGCTGTCTGCTTCACAAAAATTCCAATTCGAATTACACGGTGAAATCGTATCGAAATAACGATAGTGTTAGTGTAATTTCAATTGTATTACGTAATATCATAACGAGAGAAATTTTGTTTTATTAGAGTTGAATTTATCTTATTATAAATTCGTATAATGTGATTGAAATTACATTGATAATATTTTAATTAAATTATAATTATATGATGTTATAGTTGTGATGTTGTGATCATACTGTAATATCGTATAATCGTAGTATAGTGTAAATGATATTAATGCAATTTCAATTACCTTACATAATGTTATATGTTGAATTTAATTCTATTGTAGTCATATTATATTATAACTTGAATTAAATTATAATATACTTTTGACTGTAGCACATTGCGATATCAGTTTAATTTTCCTTTCGTTGTTCATCTGTTATCCGACTAAAATTTGCCCGTTTCCGATGAAAATCGCCGCTCGAACGCGTCTTCGAGCGTCGAGGGACACGTTTTCGAGCAAATTTTGGCGCGCGCGAGCTTCAATCGCGGTTTGCATCGTCCTTCCTCGCTCGCGAGCAGAGAGCCCTGGCTTCTGGCCTGTTCCAGCCTTCGCCATGCTTGTTTCTCTTCGTTCTTCGCGCCCAATAACGACAGAACCGCGGAAATCGCAAGTATTGCAGGGAAATAGAGAGTCCTTCTTCGAGGGGACTGAGTTGGAAAGGGAGAAGCCCATCCTCTACTGTGTGGATCTTGGTAGTCGTGTTCTAACTAATAGAGTACTGTTTGGAATTACAGAGATTGCTCCTGAGTCAATGGTAAGGCAAAATTCTTATCTTGATTGACAATTTTGGATGATAGAATAATAGAATAGGTTGCTCAATTTCAAAGTTCTGCTCTGAATCCTTGAGTTGAATGATTAAATTCATCATAGTTTAATAAAGGATGGCTTTTGGATTAACATTTATTCAATAAAAATAGTAATCTGTGTTAGATCTTTAGTAAGAAAGTATATAAATAGGATACTTTCTCTACCATTCATATTTTATTGAAAAATAAAATCCTACGTCACTTAAATGCAGATAAATTCACAGTTACTTCAAAATACTATAAAGAACATCGCCAAGTGGAGTTCACTATGCGATAGAAATCTATCTTTCGCTCATAAATTATGTCTTCGCGATGTTAATGCTATCGTAGTCAATGATTTATGTGACACCATCCCTGGATCTCAACCAGTCTTGATCTACCCTTTAAAAAAATTCACTGAACTTGGCTTTCACACGAATCTTCCAGTACAGATACCAATTAACTGTTTATAATTGTCAAATATTACATTTAGAGTCCACCTGCCTAAAGAATGACTTTCCAGCTCTCTACAATACAACGAACGCCAGAAAGACACATAAGCCTTCGAAGCACCATGTGTTCGTTCGTCCTCTCGACTATGCTCCCATTGGAGCACCATCGACGCGCGAGCTTGCGAGATATCGATCCTCGTTCTATTAGAGAACGGATTTCGTAGATCCAGTCGCAATCTCGCGCCGAGGCGATCTCTCGTCGAGGAATAAATCGCGAAAACGAGACGCACCGGTGTTCGCTGGCGCTATCGTTCTCTTCGAGATCGAGGTTCGATAATTCATATACGTGTCCTATCGCGACTTGCCGTATCTAAGATCTGCAAGGTCGCGCTAGAGAGTCCCGTGTATCACGCGATATCCCGTACGTACGGGGTGGACCTGCTGAAAAGGAACTGTGGAGGCGATTAAGCTGAATTTAATCACAGATTTCGAGTTAACATTGACAATGGTCTCGATGAAAATTGGGGAAAATTTTGAACATCGTCACAGTATGTATTTTTTACAGCTTTAGGACGTGTAGTGGAATTCTTATCTGGTGGTTTAAATTTGAATTTGAAAGAGGTTTTAGATTGTCTGACTTGCTTGTGATGCAACCACTTTTTTCTTGTAATAAAAAGAACACTATTTTTTAAATCTTCACGAAGTGTAGTGAAATTCTGATCTTTTTGCTTTAGTTTTGAAGTATAACGTACTAATAATTTTATTTACTAGAATTCTCTAGCCGAAGAAAGTTAGAGAAACATATTACATAAGTTTTGTACTACTAATGGAACTTGCTTACTTCACTGTACTCGATTAC